TGATGAGAGAGAATCACTGATTGACTGCCTCCTGTATGCCCCCTATTGGGGATCGAGCCCACAACCTGGACATGTGCCCCTGACCGAAATCGAACCCAGAACCTTTCAGTCCACAGGCCCGATGCTCTGTCCACTGAGCCAAACCTGCCAGGGCTCTGCTTTCATTTCTTAAAAGTACTTGTAACTTAAAGACCCTTGTGAAAAAAACCTAATTGCAAAATCTTTCTATATTTTTACTATAGTTTTCCAATCTTTTACAGCTGTCTATTCCATACCAAAGTAGTATTAGCTTGTTTATTGACGTTGTTCTTAACTTTAGTAGGGTTTTTTTTAAAGATAAAATTCACTATTTTAATGATTTTAAAGTGTACAATTCAGTGGTTTTTAGAACATTCAGAATATTGTAAAACCATTGCCACTATCTAATTCTAGAACATAGCCATTGCCCCCTAAAGAAACCATGTACCCATTATCAGTCACTCTCAATTCTCCCTAGGCCCATACCCTGACAACCACTAACATACTTTTTGTCACTATAAATTTACTTATTGTGGACATTTCATATAAATGCAATTTATATGGCCCTTTATATCTGACTTCTCTCACTGCATAATGTTTTCATGGCTTACCCATGTTGTAGGCATATGTCAATATTTTTTTAAAATATGACTTACTTTTATGAACTTATATAGCAATCAACTTAGTTTTCATAGAAATAGCATTTTCTGTTTGCCATTCACATGGCATCAGTAGTATTTAATGAAATTGCACAATTACGATACAAGTACTATTAGAATAAGTAGGACTATGGCCAAGCACTAGTGTCAGTGTGCACCTGAACTGATAAAAAGCAAAGCACACCATTGTATTACGATGATAGTTATTTGCCACAGAGGTCTATGCTCTGAGCAAAGACAAGGATGTGTTCAGAGGGAAAGGAGAGGGTTGGATAACCCAATGAGTCGTTTTAGTGTTGGTCAATACTCCATTACCCAGGATGGAAGGGTATGCATGCTGAAGCTGTAGAGGTGACAAGTGTCTGTTATACAACCCTACACATCCTCAACTGGTCTCCACAAGGAGGACTTCTATGTCTTCAAAAAAGGAGCACCGATGTGTTCCCATACAGACAGCTGGAGCCTTCTGCCTCCATAAAAGCTGTACCATCCTCCCCATCTTTCAAGGAGAGCTCAGAAAGTCTTCCCTAAGCCTTGACTCCTCCTTGCAGTGCCTACATGCTCTCTCTCCTTCCTTTTAACTTCCAAAGCTCTTGTCTAGCTCTGGTGGCTTTAACAAGCATTATGGCTGGTTACAGAATATCTTTTCTTTCTACCAGGGTATTGGTTGATACAGAGGCAGGTCTGTGCCCTGATATTCCACCAACATAGGAAAAGAGGCGCTCACAGCACAATCTTAACACGAATCTTTAATAAGAAGTTCAATCAATATTTCATAAGTAGATAATGAACGAGCACATTAGTTAAGTACTTAATTGATGGTACATAACTTTCTACAGCAACTTCATTCATCAACAAGTTGTAAAAGAACTGGGGATGCGGATCCCAGAGCAAAGTGGGAGGCAAATGAAGAAAATCAACTGCTTTAGGTACCCCGCATCCATCACAAATCATGACGCCCCTCCAGGGGCTTAACTGAGATCACTTTCTAATGAGATGCTGTGATAATGACACTTTCTGATGTCCTTTGATGTAGAACCAATTGAGAACAGAGAGACAGTCCTTGTCCTCAAAACCTCTCTACATCTTCAAAGGTGGATTTGTTTTTTTCTCAATTAAATCAGGATCCCACTTTCATGGATGAGCTTTTCGATAAACTAGAAAGGTATTCCTAAGCATAGCTTCCAAACAGGCGATTTTTTAAAAGCAAAGCAACTGGTTAGGTAAGGAATGCATCAACAACCCCCAAAGCTGCACTGCGTGCTTTTTTTTGGCTGTATACAACCGAAAAACTGCCAAGCTCATTTTGATAAGCCTTTGTTAAAAACAATAAACATGCCTGAGCTTGCAAACCATGCCGTTTTGAAGAAAAAGCAATTGAGAGAATTGGAAAAGCCGTAACACTGCAAAGGCTGATTAAAAAGAAGAGCCTCTGTGGTAACGGAATTACCAGTAAGTCACAAGGGTAACCTGGAGGGGAATGGAAGACAGGGTACGGTGAGGCCAAAAAAAGCAGAACGCCGCCTTCCTAAATAAATAAGCTACATCTCACAATTACAATTACCATCCACAACACGAAGGCGGGGGCACAACTAAGAAAACCAATCTCCTCATGCTTCATTAAGTGTAACGTCACCACAGCAATGTCCCTGCACTGAAGGAAACAAAATCTCAGGGGCTTTATGAATGAATACTCATCAAATAACCAAATGTGGAGATTGGTATTCTTAATGCAGTAGAATGTCCATTCAGAAAAGTCAATTTCACTTCATCTGAATTTGCTTCTTTGTTTTCAGTGATTATAAAACCAGCAGAAGCATAGGATTGGATGTAAGATCATTTGGAACATTTATGTTTGTCTCCCTATGTTAGCCAAAACTGACATTCCCTTCCATCAGCCAAATAAAATCCTGGGGAAATTCCAATAAATGAATGGTAACTGGAGCTCCCCAGGGTCTACGTTTTTCGTTTCGATCGTGACATATCCCAAATGCCCAGAACAGTTACTAGGCACAGAGTAGGCACTGAAGGAATATCTGTTCAATGGAACTATGAAAACATGAGAAAATGAGCGATACAACGCTAAATGTAAGTCCCTTTAAAATTCCTTTATCGGCTGTGTTATAGGTCCTGGTGTTCATCACAACACACAAATGGTCTGCATACAAACCGCTTTTCTAAAGTCGGCTCCGAAGTCAAATCACACCTTTAACTAACCAATCGTCACCATCGGGAGCTGAGAATCAGACCATGGGGAGAATGGGGTAACTTTAGTCCCCCTGTTGTGATTACGTTACTTCTCTTCTTCTGAAAGTATCAGCATATTCATCTTCATATAAGGAGAATGTAAATATTATTTAAAATTAAGGGTTTCTGCCCCACCAGCGTGGCTCAATGGTTGAGCACTGACCCATGAACCAAGAGGTCACTGGTTGGATCCCAGTAGGGGACACACAGGGGCAGCCTATTGATGATGTTTCTCTCTCATCGATGTTTCTATCTCTCACTTCCTCTCTCTCTCTAAAGACCAATAAAAACAATTTTTTTAAAAAAATTAAGGGTTTTCTAGATAGCTCAGCGGATAGGACATCAACCTACAGACCGAAGGGGCTCAAGTTTGGTTTCAGTCAAGGGCAAGTATCTCAGTTGCAGGCTCCTGCCATGGGGTCCTGGACTGGGCACATGCAATAGATGTGTTTCTCTCACGTCGATGTTTTTCTGTCTTTCCCCTCCCACTCTCTCTAAAAATCAATGGGAACATAACCTCGGTTGAGGATTAAAATAATAATAATAATAAGGGTTTTTTATTTTTTATAATTGTATTCCAAAGGTGGTTTGGCTAAATCAATTTCTCTCATCTATTTCAGAAGCTCACCAGTTAAGAAAAGATAGATAAATAAAAAGAGGAAAATGATATGATTAGGTGATTCTAGTCAGGTAATTTTTTTGTTGTTGTTCAAAAGGCCTGTTAGCAATATGCTGTGAAAACTGAACTCAGTAGGAAGAAGGAGGCCTGGATTCTGGTGCTGGTCCCACCACCATTTCACTGTATGAGCTCAGCCAGTCCTTGCCCACGGGAATCTGAACTTCCTGGGGCTGTAAGGCGAAGATTTGAATAGATAATCTCTAAAAGCCTTTCCCACCTTCAAGATCCTGTGATTATAAGGGACCGAAAGGTAGCACTTAATCTCTGCTCCTCATTTCCGTCCTTGATTTCTTCAACCGGCATATGTTGGGTACCTTGAAAGGGTCAGACCTTAGTTTGTACAACCTTTATGTGTGTGTGAGGCGGGGAGGGGAGGTGGGAGATGGAGAGACACACTATGCAGGGGCAGTTGTGGACTTTGAAAGCTAGTGGTCTGGGAAACCTGCGGAGATCTGTTTCTGAAGTTGGCAAGCCTGAAGACTTCCCTCCTGGGGTAAGCTGGCTGTGCCACCAGAATGCCCAAGTCTCGGCAAAGGAATAATAGGGTGAAGTAATTAGAGCCCCTTCGGAATGGAAGGGTTTATCCAGTGTGCTGGCAGTCCCATTGACTGAACATTAAAAAAAAAAAAAAAAAAAAAAAGTTATAAGAAGTTCAGAATGCTGAGCTGTGAAAACCAATAGCCCCAGGACTAGATTCGTGCCCCACAATTTGGCCACGAACACTTTTCTCCCCGAATCCGCACTAGACGTATCTTTGCTTTTTTCCAGCCGCTGAAAGATTAACTTCAGACCCTTCAAGACGTGGAAGGCCTCTGTGCTTTTAGTGCACCGCGCACGAGAAATAAGCATGATCAGCCGAGGCAGAAGGGAGATATTTAAACACACACACACACACACACACACACACACACACACACACACACACACTGAACATGCAATCCCGAGGAAAGGCGGTTTCTATCGCCCGGAGAAGTCTGCAGGGAGCCGCGGGGGACGGGATCAAAGCCGCCCCGGGTCCCCCGCCCGCCGCGCGGACACGCCGGGCGCCGGCCAGACCCGACGGGCGGGCGGCACGCGCCTCCCCGGACCAGCGGGCGCGCCGAGGGGCCCGGGGAGGGCTGGTGGGTGCCCGGCGCTGGGACAGCGGGGAGCGAACCGAGCGCCCCCCACCCGCTCCCCCAAACCCCGCCACCAGCCACCCGCCACCCAGGATGTCTGCCTCGCCGGAGCCACCGCGCCCCCAGCACAGCCAGGGAGCGGGGGCCACCGGCGGCTCCCAGGCCCTCGCGCTGGGGGCTGCGTCCGGGGCGCCCGAGCCCCCCACACCCCCGAGCGCGAAGATCCCTCGCCCCCTTCCCCGAACCGCGACCTTTAGCCCGGCCTCGCCGCGTCCTCACCTCGCGTGGACCGCTGCAGCCCCGGCGGCGGCGCTCGGACATGCCTCCGGGATGCACCCACCGCGCCGCGTCCCTGAGCGGCGGCCCCTTCCCGGGCCCCGGGCGCCGCGGGCCGCGCTTCCGAGGGGCGGGGAGCGCGGGGCGGAGGCGCCTGCGGGGCTGGTGTCCGGGCGGCGGGCAGCGCCGGGGAGGAGGGCGCGGCGGGGGACCCCGGTGCTCAGCCCCCCGCTCCGCCCTGGACTCTCCGCCGGGCGGGAGAATGGGGTTGCTCCCTGGGATCCGCGCTCCGCCGTGCGGCTGGGCGAGGGGAGAGGGGCGCGGGGAGGAGGGGCGCTCGCGGTTATGTAATGAATGGGCTCGCGGTGTCCCCGGGCCGGCTCCCTCCGGGACGGCCGGACCCTCCCCACGAACAGTCATTCGTGCCCCTGACCTAAGCGAGCGGAGGGGACCTGGCGTTCTCGGGAAGCACTTTTCCCTCCAGAGTCAGGGAGCACCCTCTGGAGAGAGAATTCTAGGGCTCCCTTAGAAGTGCGTGCGTCTGGACTTTGCCAGCCAGCCCTTCCCACTTCACAGCACAGGAAACCGAGGCCTCAACGTGTTCCTAAAAGCACTGTCTCTTCGGTGTTTGAGCTTGGACCAATGAACCAGGAGGTTAGGGTTGGATTCCTGGTCAGTGCTCGCATTCAATCAATCAATGAATCTTATCACTGATATTTCTCTCTCTCTCCCTCTTCCTTCCTCTTTGAAATTAATTTACACACACACACACTCATTGCCTTTAATTCCGCTGTTTCTTAAGTCTGCTGTCTCATTGGCCTGAACAAGGAGCTGTCTGAGTCTGCCAACTGGTGCCCCATAGAAGACAGGCGCCAGACTCACCTTCAGGTCTCCATCCTTGCTACCCAACAGCACCGCCATCCTTGGGGAGCTTGCTGGAATGCAGTATCTCAGGCCCAATCTCAGAATCTCTAGCCCATAATTTGCCTTGTAACAAGAACCTCTAGGTTATTTAGTTGGTCACCCATCAAAGTATCAAAATGAGTTCGACTTTCTGGAAAATCTGATAAGGGAACTAGAAAGGTAACTGTGCAAGAGGCCACACAATACTTTAGGCCCTAAAGTTTAGGGTATTTTGATTGATTTCACAGAGGAAGGGAGAGAGAGAGATAGAAACATCAATAATGAGAGAGAATCATTGATCCGCTGCCTCCTGCACATCCCACACTGAGGATCCAGTCCATAACCCTGACCTGGAATCAAACTGTGATCAGGGAGCCACACCTGGAGGGCCTGGAGGGTATTTTTTATTATTATTTTTTAAATATATTTTTTATTGATTTTTTACAGAGAGGAAGAGAGAGGGATAGAGAGTTAGAAACATCGATGAGAGAGAATCATCGATCAGCTGCCTCTTGCACACTCCCCACTGGGGATGTGCCCGCAACCAAGGTACATGCCCTTGACCGGAATCAAACCTGGGACCTTTCAGTCTGCAGTCCATCCACTGAGCCAAACCTGTTTTGGCTGGAGGGTATTTTTTAAATAGGCGAATGCAGTGCGATCCTTCTTCACTTTACCCTCTGGCTATTTTATCTTTCCTCCTCCACCAGGTTTCCTGCTCTTTATAAATCTGGATTTAAGTCCCATTTTGCACTTACAGAAACACTTTGGGCTCCATCTAACGAATGATTAATGAATCTATGTCTAAAACACACAAAAGAAGGAGCACGTACAGCTTGTAAAAGAATTCACTAGCATTGAAAACGGACTTATAAACGTAGAGGCAGGGGTGAGCCCTGAGCCCTCATCTGTGAAGGTCTTTAGGTTAAAGGCTTGAATACTTTTTCGGTTCAGAAAACACTTCTCTTAGTTAAACGTTGTTTGGGGTGGCAAATAAGCCCTATTCTCCATTTAAATAATGTGGGACAACCAGTTCCTTTAAAACGTTTAGGATAATAGAAACCTTACAGTCTTCCTTCCGAATCACCACTTACAGAGACTAGTGAAGCCCAAAGCGAGTATTTTGTTTATCTCATTAAATGCTGTGTGTTTGGGGTTTGTGTTTGTGTTTTATTCCTGGAGTGTTCAGAGTTAGTTTGTCTGCTTCTGTTTCTGGCACAATGATTCTCACCTTTTGAGAGTTAAGTAATTGTGGATTGCTGAGCAGGAGGAGGAGGAGGAGAAGGAGGATAATGCTGATAGACTGTGCCTGGGTCACTTCCACTTACTTACCCTTTGGGGTTTCCCCTCCAGGCTGTTGAACAAGCTGATACCATGGGGGTGAGCAGTGTGGGGTGGAGGAAGGGAAGATGGAAAGAGAAAAGGAATCTCCTTTCTCTGAAGTCGGAGGGTTGAAGAAGCTGGAAAGGGGAGGAGAAAGCCCTTCTGCTTGCCCTAAATTTCAACAGGGAGGAAAAGAAAAATGCAGACTTTCTCCTACACACGGCTACCCAATAGATTTGCTACAAGGGTGGAAATGTTGCATCTTTTCAATGCTGTTTATAGTTAGTTATCTTTAGAATAATTATTTGCGACATCCAAAAGGGCTATGAAAGGTAGCTATTTACATTTAAATTTTAATTAAAATTCAGTTTGTGCTTGTTTTTCAGTGCCCATCTGTTAAATTAACCACATTTCCAGTGTTCTGCACCAACATGTGGCTAGCTAGCGTCTACCATTGCTAGATAGCATATAAAAACATTTCTCTCATCACAGAAAGTTCTATTGGACAGCAGTCCTGAGAGGCGAGGATTTTGGTGAGAAGCTGAGCCCAGATATTCCAGTTTTTCTAAATCCTATTAAGAGTCTCATCTGTCCTATGGCAGGCAGAGGAATTGATCATTAAACCTAGATCTTTCATTCCTTATGAGAATTAAACCTGCATAATCTATAGAAAGTGCTGGATGCAATGCCCTGCACAAAGTGAGCGCACAAAAACCTTAACCAGTATGAGTATTAATAGTCATCTTCCATTTAAAAAGTAGTTGGGGGACATGGCATACCGTGCATCCTTATTAGTTAATAGCCCTTTGATGATGTGGTCAGCTGCTCTGGTACATTCACACCATTCAGCTGTGCTCCAACCTCCTCCCCGAGGCTCTTCCTCCTTCTCTCAGACCTGGGCACCCCCTGTACTAGCCTGGAGGTACAGCACACTCCATCAAATCCCTACCATTTTTATCCAATAAGTAATAAACACGCTAATTGAAATAACATTGCGACATGGTACAGGGGGATCCATTTTCAGATGCAATTCTCAGAAGCATGACGCCATAGGGTACATCTACTGTGGAAGGAATTGTTTGTTCCTATTATTTGGTCAAACAGAGAAAAATGAGAACATTGGCTTCAAATAAGTAATATTTGGGGTGTGCCTGTTAGCCTGGGGACAGAATATTTGTTGACAGGATAATTGCCTAAATAGAACCTAAAGTTTATTTTTGTGATGAGTAAAAATTTTAAGGATAACTACAAACAGCATTAAAAAGATGTATTTTATTTTGCTAATTATGTAAATTAGGGCAATACATAGAATGGGAAATAGTGAAAATTTCCCCTGTGCGAGCACTTTTTGTTTAATCTTCTCAAACTCCCATTCTTCTGACTTTTTAAATAAGATCACATCATGTGGACACTTTCCTTAATAGTCTTTCTTGGTCTCTTTTTCATCAGTTATTTTCTTATGAACATTTTTGTAGAATGTTCTCTGCTCTCCTTTCTTAACCCATATCCTGGTCCCCCATTGTCTGTGGCTAACACCTGCCTGTCAAAGGCTGTGTATTTCTGGTTCTGGCTTCTCTTTGAACTCAAATTCTTATCACCAGATCCCCAGTGGATATTGCTGCTGAGATTCTCCATACCCCTTCACTTCAAATGTTAACCCATCAGGAACTAAAGCTATCATTACAATCTACTCTTAGCTCCCCCAAAACTTTCTAGTTTCTCCTCTCTGATACCTTTAGCTTGGTTTTTGGTGCTAAAATTCTATTCTTCTATTTAATATGACTTAAAACCATGGAATCCTTCTAAATTATTTTAAACCATTTTTCTTCTTCATGATATAATTGAAACACGTAGAATTTAGAACTAAAAGATCTCAGTAAAAAAAACCACTTTTGCCATTTCTTAGCAGCATGAACCCTTTGCAGCAATGTCTTAACCTTCCTAATTAAGCCTTGAGTTTCCATCTAAAAAATAAGATGAAGAGTACCATTCAAAAAATATGACGTGTGCAGCTACTCATCCCAGCCTCTGTACTAATTAGGTTAGACGCTCACCCTCCACACTAATGACATTTTGGTCCTGATAATTATTTGTTGTGTGGCCGCCCTGTGCTTTGTGGAATGTTTAGCAGCATCCCTAGTCTTTACCCTTAGATGCCAGTAGTAACCCTTCTAGGCATGACAATCGCAATCGTCTTCAGACGTTGCCAAATGTCTCCACCTCTTGCTGGCTGAATAACCTTGGATGAGGTACATAACTCAACATAAGTTTCTTCACTTGCAAAATGAGCATAATAACAACACATTCCTTGTAGGTCCATTGTGAGATTAGGTAAGAAATACACTTCTGAAGTGCCTAGCACAGTAGCTAACTCATAGTAAGTACTTAATACATTTTAGCAGAATTAGTCACAATAGCCAAGATATGGAAACAACCTAGTGTCCATTGACAGGTGAATGGATAAAGAAAAGAAAAGAAAAAAAAAATATATATATATATATATGAAGAAAAAAATACATAAAGAACATATACGTATTGAGAGAGAGAGAGAGAGAGAGAGAGAGAGAGAGAGAGAGAGAGAGAGAGAGAGGGAGAGAGAGAGAGAAAGTAAAATGATGATTGCCAGAGGCTGAATGATGAAGGAAATGGGAAGATGTTGGTCAAAGCTTATAAACTTTTGATTATAAGATAAATAAGTTCTAGGGATCTAACAGCATGGTGACTATAGTTAATACCCTATTGCATACTGAAATTTGCTAAGTGGATAGATCTTAAAGAGTTCTCACCACACACACACACAAGAAAAGGTAACTATGGGAGATTAAGGATATTTTAATTAGCTAGATAGTGGTAATAATTTTGCAGTGCATATACAAATCATCATACAGTTCACCTTAAATATATTCAGGTTTTATTTCCTCAGTAACGCTGGGAAGAAAAAAAACACACAAGTAAATGTTAGCTAAAATAAACCAAATATAAACACTCTCCCCTTGAACACATAGAATGTAAACTATTGATGGCAGGAAACTTCTCTGTCTTGTGTACTATTCCCCCAGTGCCGACCGAGTAGACACTTCCATAAAGCTTCGAGAACGAGTGAATATTAGTTATGCATCACTTTTGCTGTTCACCACTATTGTTCTTCCTCTTCAGGTTCATTCAGTTAGTGTTTATGAAGCATTTATTC